AAATTCTTTTTAGCATTTTGATATTGTTATATTATTTATAATAATTGTTATTATTATTAATTTATTTATTTAAATTTCTAGTTAAAAACATTCAAGAAAATTTTTTATTAATTTTTTTTATGCTTAATCATTTCAAGATTCAAATTTCAAAAATGTCAGACAGAGACATTAAAGATGGCGGTAAGAATTATAAAACAAACAAAAAATTATTTTAAATGATAATTTCGCAGGAAAAGAAAAGTAATTGTAAAAGAAATTATTTATAAAGAAACGATTTTATTCTTAATTTTACTTGAAATTAATTTTAAATCAAAGTTTTTTTTACATAAAATTTTTTTTTTTTGTGAAATATTTAAGTTGGCAACACTTATCAAAATGTAAACACATTAGTAATATTAAAAAATTTAGAAATATTATTTTAACAGAAATGCATGAAGCTTATGATTTGTTACCTTTATTAAAGTTAACCGTTCAAATAGAATCTATTGCTGCATACGGTAAGATTTTAATAATTTGTAGTTATTTAAATAATTTTAAACTTAATTATTTTTTTAAAAACTAAATTTTTTTTGTATGTCAAAAACTTTTTAGATGATCGTTTATTAGTAGGAACCAAACAAGGGCATTTACTTACTTACGTTATTGTAAAGCATTTAGGTGAACATAAACATGACGTTCAGCTATTGAGTTATAATAGAAATTTCAGTAAAAAACCTATTCAACAATTGGAGGTCGTTTCAGCTTATCATTTATTAATTAGCTTATCAGGTTAGTATGACTACCCATTTTTCCTTTATAATCATACCCATTATTAATAGAATAATAAATTTTAATCAGTTACATTGCATTTATTTCTCAATTTCGAATTGAAAATTTTTACTACCTGGAATAAATAAAATACCTTAAAAAAAAAAAAAATTTGTGTTACAGATAATGTAGTCAGCGTTCACAATTTGTATAGTATTAAATCTCATTCTAACATTTCTTCAACTACCGTTTTGGAAAAAACAAGAGGAGCGACATTATTTACATTAGATGTTCAAGTAAGTATAATATTATATAAATTATTATAATTTGAAATTTTTTAATTACAAATTAAGTTTAAAGTTAAAGCAAGTGTTATATTTGATGTTATTTTTTTTCAAAAACTAATTTATTACCAGTAATATATATTTTTAGAATCAAAAATCTTTAACAGGAGAAATCAGTGTGTTTGTTCGACTTTGTGTAGCAGTGAAAAGAAAATTACAATTTTATTATTGGAAAAAAGATTCATTTTCGGAACTTCAGTCTGAAATAGTTGTAAATGATGTTCCAAGATGTATTTCATGGTATCAAGACACTCTATGTATCGGATTTAAAGGAGAATATAGCCTTCTTACAGTTAGTTTTTTTTTTAATATTATTTTCCAGAATAATTTTTTTTTTTATTATTAGTTAAACAATTAATTTTTTTTTACAGCTGTCTTCTGGTAATTCCAAAGAGCTAGTACTAGTTGGAAAAGCTCCTGAACCTAGTATAACAAAGCTGGGAGATGATATTTTTGCTGTCGGAAAAGATTCTCAAACAATATTTGTAAATACTACTGGGGATCCAATTTTAAAATATTCTGTTAAGTGGCCTGAGGCTCCCACATCATTAAGTATTTACATTTACTAAAAATGCATCATCTTATTTATTTTAAATATTTAAATGAGTGCTAAGAATTTATGTTTTGTTTTAGTTTATGATGATCCATATTTAATAGCACTTTTACCAGAATCTCTACAAGTAAGAACGATAGGTCCAAATTTATTTATTCAAGTTTTATCTGTATCCAAAGTAAAACTTATAGTGGGGAATAAACAAGGTTTGCTGTATTTAGCATCGCAAAATAATGTTTGGTGCCTTGAATCTGTACCTATTTCTCAACAAATCAAAACCCTATTAGAAGAAAAGCAATTTCAATTAGCACTTAGACTAGCAGTAAGTTGTTCGACATCAAGTTTTTTCTTTTTAAATTTACAATCGTTGTAAAAAATATTTTTGCTAGTCTAAAAGTTAATAATAATAATACTCGAGGAACTTTTGATTTTTTTTTAGAATATCACTGATGAATGCGAAAGTGATAAGCAAAAAAATATTCACGAAATTCAAACTTTGTTTGCATATCATTTGTTTTATTCGAAACAATTTCAAGATAGCATGAAACAATTTTTAACATTGGGAACAGATCCGAGAAACGTCATTAATTTATTTCCAGAATTATTAACCAATCAAAAAAAAAATAACACCGGGGATCCAAATTTTAAATTAAGGGAAAAAGAAATGGAAATCGGTTTGTTAGCACTTGTTGAATATTTAACCGAAGTTGGTTTTCTTAAAAATTTATTTTTTTTTTTTTTTTGCCTTGTTTTTGATCGTTTAATGCTCGTTTGTTTGTTCGTTTTGTAAAAAAAAAAAAAAAAAATTTGTTTTTTTTTTTTTCACTATAATTTTAGGTTAGACACGATTTAATGAATTTGAAAGAACCTAAAAAGGGAGAAAATGCATTATTGTCCGTTATTGACACGACTCTACTCAAATGTTATTTACAAACGAACGACGCCATGATTGCTCCCATTCTCAGATTGAACAAAGTAAATTTTAAAGAAACGGAAAGAGTATTGAAAAAGCATAAAAAAATAAGCGAGCTAGTCATTTTATATCAAACGAAAGGTTTTCACCGTGAGGCTTTGTCATTGCTCAAACAACAACCGCAAGATTTACATAAAATGATTCAATACCTACAACATTTGGGTAAATCCCATCCGACGCCATGACAGTTTTTTTTTTCTTCCCCTCTTATTCATAGTTTTTTTTTTTTTTTTTTTTTTTCTTTTCAGGATCTGATTATTTACAATTAATTTTTGAGTTTGGTGATTGGGTAATCGAAGAAGATCCAATACCAGGTTTAAAAATTTTTACAGAAGATATAACGGAAGTCGAACAACTACCC